CCCCCCCCTTTGTCAACAGTTTTGTTGTTTGGTTTGTTACAGTACAAACAGGTGGAACAGTACATGTCCTTCCACAAGCTGCCGGCTGACATGAGGCAGAGGATCCACGAGTATTATGAGCACCGCTTCCAGGGCAAGATATTTCACGAAGAAAGTATCCTCGAAGAACTCAATGACCCACTAAAAGAGGTTTCTCTTATATTTTTTCTTTCTTTCGTGTTTTGGTCAGATCATCTTTCATGTAATAACTTGCTCCACCTGAGAAAGGACTTTTCTTATTTTGGTTGACATTCACAGCGGAGAATGTTGTAGAAGTCACATGATTGCCAGCTGTGAACAAAATGTCTGTTTCTTTTGTTTGGACAATTAATAAATTCATATTTCATTTAATAATAGCAAAATAATATATTATTTATTATTTGCTTATTTAAAAGTCCTATTTAAAATAGGTAAATTGATGAGCTTTGGTTTAAATGGTTTTCAGTCCTGCATTTTATCTCCCAAATTGATGATGTCATTTAAAAAATTTGAAAATGAGCAGAAATAAGTTACCGCAAACTATTATTTACATAAGGTAAACATTTGACCAGACTACTTGTTTGACTAAAATGATCAGTTGTGCAAGCCCTAATTTATATAAATGTATATAATAAATATCTATTATAAATTGTATATGATAAACATTTATTAAAAATTATTTATCGCATGCATATATCGCATTATATATTTTGTAAATATATATTTGGAAAAAAATATTAAAGGGGACATATGAAGTTGCTAAAAAGAACATTATTTTGTGTATTTGGTGTAATGAAATGTGTTTATGCGGTTTAAGGTTAAAAAAAACACATTATTTTCCACATACTGTACATTATTGTTTCTCCTCTATGCTCCGCCTTTCTGAAACGCGTTGATTTTTACAAAGCTCATTGGTCTGAAAAGCGAGGTGTACGCTGATTGGCCAGCTATCCAGTGCGTTGTGATTGGCCGAATACCTCAAACGTGTGATGGAAATGTTACGCCCCTACCATACTGTGATGCCGTGTCCCGGCCGGAGCGACGAGACAAAAACATTAAAACCCATTATAAACGAGGCATTTGTTGCATCCAGTGGGGGCATAATTACTGATTATAATTACTTATACTGTCTTTTTACGCGTTGCGTTGCGTATCGCGCCGTGTAAACATATACTTGCGTTTGAATCATCAGTGGCAAATTCTTTAAATATGTAAACATACTTACAGGCTGTGAGTCAGAAGCGCCAGACTGTCCTTGCAAAGTTGGAATTGCCCCACTTTATAGAAACAGCCTATGTGCACAGAAGCATTGTAGGCTACTGGTTCAGGAAACAGTCCTCGTCCTCCGTAAATTGCGCTGCACACATCTGAATATTTGGGTTGAAGTGTTCTGGAACAGTATTGTAAATACAACTTAACCACTGATTTCTAGTCGTGTCCATTTTTGGAAGACCAAACAAAGTAGTTACGCTTTCACAACGAAACACACAGCGTCTCCACAACACGGCGGCAGCAGCAATACTACAGCGAGAATCAAAGTTACGCCTTCTTTCTTTGCGTGAACATTTGGGCAGCGTTATGCAAATCTTCCCACATCGTGAAGTAGACATGTCGGGGCGTGTTAGAACGAGTTTTAGGCAGGCGTGGCTGACTCTTAACTTTTATAAAGAATATCTCTTTGGATTTGAGACTTTAATCTTTGCAACTTTACAGATCTTCTTTATGCACCAAAAGCTTGTAACACTCCAAAGAGAAAGGAAAAATTTTAATCGCATCATATGACCCCTTTAAAAGTATTATAATAAAATTAAAAAAATTGACACGACCAAAAGTTAGGTAAAGTAGTTGATCTAAAATCATGCCTATAGTTTAAAAGTAATTTAGTAGTAAATCATATGGGTTAATGTAATAAAGGTTACAAAGTTTTATTTCTCAAATACAGTCCTTTTTGTTATAGCCTAGCATGTCTCAATTAAATATGACAAACTCTTATCCATCTACTCCTTAATCCTAAATTATTTCTTAGCTGACTTAGAACTTAAACGTGGGACTAAACTGCTCGATGTATTGGTAGATTACACTGACACTCTTAATCCATCCTGTATTGTGTGTTTGACCTGCAGGAGATTGTCAACTATAACTGCCGTGGGCTGGTGGCTAACATGCCACTCTTTGCAAATGCTGATCCTCACTTTGTCACAGTGCTCCTCACAAAGTTACGCTTCGAGGTCTTTCAGCCGGGTGATTTCATCATCCGTGAAGGGACGCTCGGTCGTAAGATGTACTTCATCCAGCATGGCTGCGTCTGTGTGATCACTCATGACAATAAAGAGAAGAAACTGAATGACGGCTGCTACTTCGGCGGTGAGTTAGATTTTTCCCGGCTTGTACCAGATAAAAACTTTATAGAGTACACAGATACTATTGTGTAGTAGACCAAAACTGAATACAGAAATTTAGATAATAGCTCAATGAACAAGAATAGACGGTTGCTACAGAACTGATTTGTTTATTTATTTTTTCTAGAGATCTGTCTGCTCACCCGTGGACGTCGTACAGCCAGCGTCAGAGCGGACACATACTGCAGACTTTATTCGCTCAGTGTGGACAGCTTTAATGAGGTCTTAGAGGAGAACCCATTAATGAGGAGGGCGTTTGAGAGCGTAGCGGTGGACCGGCTGGAGCGGGAGGGAAACGGTATTGTGCATTCACACAGGAGCGTGGAGGATGATGGGGACTGATGAACTTTGACTGACTCACCGAAGATGACTGAATGCAGAAAAAAATCATGGTGTTACGTTGTCCATATAATTGACATTAATGTACAGTTGCAGTATGGTGTGATTTATCTTATTAGAGTAGTTCTTTCTTATTCTTAATTTGACCATGCAATGTATAGGAACATAAAAATAAACAATACAGGTCCTGTAGATTCTCTAAAGATACTGGATCCATGTAATTAATTTCAGTCAGAAACCATTAGTTTAGCAGGGACCTTGATAAATGTGGTAACACAATATGTATGCAGCAATATATATTATAATACAAGTACATTAAAGATACAATAAAATTAAATGAACATAGCACAAACACATACCCTAACATTACAAAAGTTTGTTTTGTTGTTTCTAATCTCTATTGAGCTCTTGTAGTTTCAAGTAATAGTAGCCTTTAGTCAAGGAATCGCTTCCTGTAGATTTTGCATTTAGCGGCGGTTCTGAATATGTTAACTCAGTACAACTCATGTTTAACTCTTTCATTTTGATGTCTTTGAAATTGCTTTCATTTTAAAACCTCCAGACAGCCACCAGCATATAACAGTGTTGCACTTATCCACTTATCCTTTCATTATTGTCGTGCTGCTGGTGGAAGGTCTCTGGATGTATCATTGAGTCCAGATAATCAAATCGAGGTAAATCATAATACTTTCTATTAGTTGTTTTATAATACAATATTATACTGAGTTCTATCTGCTTTCCAGATCAACATTGAGCACTTAAGAATCATGCACTGTGAGGAAAGATGTCTGGTAACTGAAAGACACGGATGAGCTGGGACATCTGGCCATTGTCCTCTTAACTTCAAATTAAAGTATTAAACAATATGAGTCACATAATCGCTGATTAAACTCATTTCCGTTTGGCCTGAGCCCTTACTTATCTGTGATAATCGGTTATGACGAAAATAACCCTTCGAGAGAAGGTTGTTTTCACATGTGCTTTTGAGGAAAATATTTACTTGGGAGCAAGTGATATATTCATTTCAAATTATATTTTGTCAGTAACATTTCTACTCTTCTCTGTGGTTGGAAATTAAAACAGATATATTACCCCACATAATGTGTGATATTATAGAGATGAGGAGTATTATGGAAAAACAACTGAGATTTTGAATATAAATGTTAATTTGATGCGTTTCATTTGCCACTATATTATTACAGTATGTTATTAACTGTTGGATACAGTCGCTGTACACGAGTCTACATACAGTTTGGTAGTTTACCAGTGTGTCATTATTATTTCTTTATTGAATTGTTTTCATACTAACACTAAATAAAACTACACTTCATATCAAATAAAGTGGTTTGCAGACTTTGTACTATTTATACTTGGGACAAAATAATATGACTATGAAGTATTTTGACCATGAAGAATCATATTTGTTTATTTTATCATATATACATAAGGCACGCAAGACAGAATAACAACAACAAAACATAAAATTAACATTTAAAAAAAAAATCAATAATAAAATTAAATTAAAAAAAAGTACATTATAATATTAGGCTAGTTACATACATTTGAAAAGCTTAAGATTTTTTATTGTTTTATAAGCTTATTTTGTGATCTCATATTAGAAATGGTTTCAAAATACATTTAAGATCAGTGTTGCAAAAGGTAATATATGATGGTTTATTTTGAATGGTTTTTGACTTATGAATATAAAACTATAAGATAATTAACGGCTTAATGATGCAATTTTGTTTATCGGAAAAATATTGGTTTTGAAAACAAAAGTGAAATATCATGAGGTTCTAAATTAAGGGCTTTGTTTAATTTTTTTATGTCATGTCTATTTTAAAGTCAACCCAAAAGGAAATAGAAAAAGGGCATCAGAAAAATAAATGGTCGATATCTTCAACTGATATGTCACAAAAGGTACATTTATTACAAACACTATGAATATATCTGCTACAGAAACAGCTGCATTTATCAACATCTGTGAATAATTGTACAACTTCCATAGTATTTTTTCCCTACTATGGAAGTCAATGGCAACCACCAACTGTTTGATTACCAGCAATCTTCAAAATATCTTCTTTTATGTTCAACATAAGAACGCAACTCGTACAGGTTTGGAACGACATGAGAGTGAGTAAATGATGACAGAATTTTCATTTTTGGGTGAACTATCCCTTTAAGGCTTTATATTATATTTGAACTGTGCAACAGCGCCTCCACACATAACAGGTCAAAGCCGTGATTACATCCGGGTCGGTCGCTATATTCCTTCCGCTGTACATTTCATAACGCTGATCCAGGGAGATCACGAAGGTAAACAGCGGCTCGGCTCTTTCACTTGATTTATCTGTTTGCAAATCAAGGTTTTGACAGGTTCTCTTTTTTTTGACAATCTCGTATTCCTTCTGTAAATAAATCCGAACATTAACGTTGTGCAATGCCGCAGTCCCTCAGATGTCATGAGTGTGTATATGGAGGTCACTGCGGGACGAGTCCATTTTCAACCGGTTAACCTACTGTACAATATCTGAAAGAGTTTGGCTTGTGTGTTTTTGCAATAATGTATACTACGGAGGCATCTTTGAGCTACATGGATGTGTGTTTATTGCTGCTGCTCAACTATTTACTCTTCCCGTCTCTTGCCTTGCATAACTGTTCCCTTCGTTAAATTTGTCTGAAGTGTTGATGCTTTTTAGTTCATGTATGGATTATGTTACAGTGTTGAACCTCAAAGGTTTGTGTTGTGAATTAATTTTATAAGCGGCTATTATTTGGGGGTGTTTAACGCTTCCCTCTGGTTGTTTTGTTCTTAAAAAACATCTACAAAAACATTTAATAAAAAAAAATAAAAAAAGTTTAGTAATTTTGTTATGATACATTTTTGGTATTTCTATCTATTTTAGTTTTAGTATCTTTTATTCCTTCATTTGAAGCATATTTAAGTTAGTTGGCAAAGCAGCATTTCTAATTGTCGTATAGATTTAAGCTTTTCATGTAATATTTACAGTATAATTAATTTAAATGGAGTTTTATTTCAATTACCAAAAAAAGATTTTTAATAGTTTGATTCAGTTAACAATGACAGGAAAGGTCATTAGGACTGGAGTTGTTATTAAACAGTGCACCATGTGGTACAGCTTTGGTTATGAGGGGATGGTTCTTGCTCATTGGTTCCTTCATATCTTTCAGATAAGATGTTGTCCTGTCTCGGCTGTCCCGTTCTTAGCCGGGTTCTGACCACCGGGGCTTCACGTGCCCCGGTAGCTGTGGTTGCATGTGGTGCATCACGCACTACTGTAGCAGCCAGCACTGCCTCTCCTCCAAAGACCACGTCACTGGTGCGGTACAACAGCAGCACAGCTCAACAGGTGACTTGTTGCTCAAATCCACTGTCTGCATAATTGATGGTCGATGGAAATGAGTTATAATCAGTGTGTGTCACCAGGAAACACCAAAGAAGACCAAATTCGGACCTCTAGCTGACCAGGACAGAATATTCACTAACCTATATGGACGACATGACTGGAGGTAAAAAATATTAAATTGTATTATGAATTATATCTAAAGACAGGACTTAAGCTTACTTTAGAATGTTCCCTATTTGTTATGGAAGCTATTTTTTTCCATGGACTAAAAAGGTGAAAGGTTAGAATATATATATATATATATATATATATATATATATATACAATTTCAACTTTTTTTTAATCTACAATTCAGATATTTTTTCCATGCTATTGCAATTTTATATCTCAAAATTCAGACTTTTTTCTCAGAATTGCTTGTTTATATCATGCACTCAGACTGTTTTTTCTCTCTCAGAATTGTGAGTTATTAATCGTAAGATGTAAACGGAGAAAAAGTAAGCTTCCATAATTTGTGTATTTTCTAATTTAGGTGTTTTGTTATCTATTAAACAATAAAATTTTTTATTTATTATTAATTTATTATAAGTGCAATCAAAGTTATTAATTTATTATAAGTGCAATTGTAAGATGTAATTTAGTAGTAATATAACACACACACACACACGTGTGTATATA